GGTCGGTGGCAGAAGCAGAGCCCGCGGTCGGTGGCAGAAGCAGAGCCCGCGGTCGGTGGCAGAAGCAGAGCTGGCGGTCGGTGGCGGAAGTCACAACGCAGCCCGCAGCAGCCAGGAAGAAGTGAGTGACGGGCAGCTGCTCGCATGGGCAGTCACGGGGGTGATTCTGCAGTGGTGGGACCCAGGTGGGAAGCCAGGGCCACTGACTGCCTTCCAAGAGAGAGCCCACAGCCCGTGTGTGCTGGAGGTCACCTGGCGTGCTCACTGCAGGAACGCAGACCTCTCCCAGCAGGAGGCCAAGGGTGGCCTCGTGGTCCCCTTGAGTTCTGGCTGGGGCAGCGTTGGACTCACTCAGATGAGACAGTGCTCCGAAGAGGAGGAGCCCTCACTCTGCAGGCAGTCATCTGTTCTCATCCGTCCACTCCCGGTAAAGCAAGAGCGGTTGAGAGACAAGATCAGGGGCCCGGATGGCATCGAGGCTGCACCCAGCATTGGGCTCTCCCGCGGTGCTGGTGGGCCCAAGGTGGGCGTGGAAGAGAGAGGGTGGGAAAGGCACAGTGGAGACTCAGCTGAGACGGGCGAGGGGAGGTGGCTGGGAGCGGGGGTGTTGGCTCTTCACGTGATTCTACTAAGCACCTGCCACGGGCTCAGCTGTGTGGCATGTGGACCCGAGAGTGTGTGTGGATCAGAGGGGTTCTGTGGGCCAGAGATGGGGATGCCACCACTAACACCAGCTAGGCCAGGTGTGCCTGGGATAGACAGGGGAACGCCACCACTAACGTCGCTAAGCCAGGGGTGCCTGGGCCAGAGAAAAGGGGACGCCACCGCTAGCCTCCTCCTGGGCCTGAGGACGACAGTCAGAACCAAAGGCAGATCTCTTCTCCCTCATGCTCCCAGAGGCATACATTTAAATGAAGAATTTGCGAAGTTGATTCCGTAGCAGGTGCCTATGCTCAGAACATTTCTAAGTGTGTGCATCTGACAACCCCACGACAGAGGATGGCCCCATCCTAGTTCGGCGGCAGCCCAGCTGGGCTCTGGAAGGGCTGTGTGCGGGCATGTTCCGACCACCTGACTCCACCTTCCCCCACGCTCTCACACATGCACAGGCAAAGCAAGTCCTTTGACTAGAAAGTGACTTGTTGGGTGGACAAGGTCCCCACTGACCACAGGGGCCAGGGAGTGACCCCCCGCGCTGGCCAACGCTGCCTGGAGAAGTCGGGTGGGTGGGGGAGGGGAGCGCCCGCTGCCTCAGAGCTGGGCTTTCTCCTGGTTCAGTTCGGCCTCCTCCGAAATGCACTTAAAGAGCTATCCAATCTGCTTTTCTTCCTCAAGAGTATATTTGAAAGGTTTTATTTCCGTAGCTCTGCAACCATTTACACAGCTGGAAACAAATTTCACAGATGGTCCTCAGCTTCAGACGGGGTCACCTCCCAACAAACCCGCCATGTGCTGGAAACATCCTGGGTGGAGAGCGCGCTTCCCACAGAACCCACGACCAAGCGGCGCAGCCTCGCCTGCCTTAACCTGCCAGACGCTCACGCCAGCCCACCGTCTGGCAAAACCGCCTGTACGCTGACCCCTCGGGGCGTCCGGCGCCTCCTGATCACGTGGCCCGCCGGGGCTGCGGTCACCGCCCTCATCACCCGAGAGTACTGGCCTCACATGGCCAGCTGGGGAACGGTCAAAACTCAAAGCACAGTTTTTACCGAATGCGCCCTGCTCACACGCCACCGAAATCAGATTCCTAAATCGAGCCAGTGTACGTCGGGCCCTGCCCACAGACTCACTCTCCTTCAATACCCGGCCTAAAGCTGAAGCCGTGAACGCTGCCACGGCTGGTCCTGTCCAGGAACTGCTGATAAAACCAGCCACAAAACCAAAGCAAACGCCCTGCTCTAGGACGGCCCCCACTGTCAGATCCCTGTGGAACCAACAGCCAATGTGCTCACAGGCCAGGACACACGCGCCACTAGCTCCCGGCCACACCGAGCCAGCACAGTCGGAGGGTGCCAGGAAGCGCCATGGGCCAAACTCGTCCGGCCCCTCACTCTCCTGGCTCCGGAGGACGAAATGTGTCTCCCCATCCCTCCTCGGGGCCCTGGGGGCAGCCCCCCATTCCCAGCTGACCCTTCTGGGAGACAGGAGCCTTGGCTCCACACAGGTGGGGCCGTGCCAAGGACCAGCCCAGCCCGGTGGTGCGTGAGCTCACACAGCCCGCCCGCCCCGCGCAG